TCTATTGAATTTTCCTACAAGTATTTTTCGGTGCATTTAGCCTTAAACAAAATTAGCTGTTCAAAAAGGTCATGTGCAATGTTGTGACTTTTTTTAAGCATTTAGAGATTTCATTTTGCGGATCTTCAAATTTATATTTTAAAAGATTTACTTTTCCTGAATTTTAAGGAAAAATCATCCCTATACAGTATTTGAGTAACAGCGTGTGTTAGTGCCTACGGATCCGTCACTCTCGGTTAGACCACTTCCCGTGCACTAATCGAAACGTATGAATGTCATTCGACGCGTCTCGGTCTTTGGTGGGGAATTGATAATATTTGTTTTCGGATCCGGCCAGAAGATTCTAAGAAATTTCCAAAAACGTGTTTTTGCGTGTTTTAGCGCTACCATATTAGTGAGTGTGCTGGGCATTGAACCAATATAGCCCAAATAGATCTATATAGGTTACGTTGAATGTGACAAATGAATCGTCGCGCGGGAGATTTAATTTAATTTGCATCCGTGTCAATGTATTTAAAAAAATATATTTGCAAAAACATACGAATAAATGCCTTAGGACGTATTGAACTTAAAGAACTTCAGGTAAGTACGGAGAAAACCAAACTGTGAGTAATGTTACTGAAGCCCGATACACGTTCTTACGTTCGACTTCTCACATTTACTTTCTTAAGCGTACAAATACCGATTTTCACGTGAACGGGAGTAACAACTTATTCTTTTTAAAACGTAACTAACACCTTATTCTATAAACATTCCAAACACTCGCTTTTTAATGTCAATATAGATTCGCCTACAAAACGATAAATAGAGCAATTGCAGAAGTAGAAGTGAACACAATTAAACTGACTTTGAGGAGTTTTAATCTTTTCAAAAATTAGGGGGCAAAAATATGGAAGTGGAAAGGAAATCCGGGAACAATCAAATGTATAATATCAGTTGTAGATTTTGGGGCAGAATTTTTGGAACTAATTGAAAAAGATCTTATTAGAGAAAATAGTGAAAGAACAGCTTACCGGTGATATTATATGTGCATTTTTTGCGTATATTGGCAAAAAAGTGTACAAAATATGAGCTTTACTATTCTAACTATTCGCACCATCCTTACCCTAAATTGAAAGTAATAGTCTGAAATCATATTTTATTGTAATGTACCATATTGTTTAGAATTACAAGGAACATACGTATATTCTGATTAAATAAATTATTTCCATTAGAAATTTCCTAGCGTGTTTAGTATTTCGAATGCCCCAAAATATGTGCTTCTAATGAAACAACGTTTCGTGGGTCCGCGATGCGATAAAAATCGTATTTTTCAGCATTACTTGTGTGGTACTCCAGAGATACTTCTATGAAAGCTAATTGGCAAACAGAAAAGGCCGTTGCGTTGTTCATGTAAAAGGATTTTCTTTAACGGTTCTTCAAAAGAAGAAAATTGTCAACGCTGCGAAACTAACGGATTGACAAGTGTCACCGAGTGACTAACTTTTCTGTGATCTTACGATCTATATGTATAAAACTCTTTATTATATTATATTTTGTGTGTATGTTTTTCCATTATAATGTAAGATATATTGTAACTAATGCATGATATTTGTTTAATGCCAAGTGTACACTGAGCACTGTACATACACCTGTTTTCTCGACTGTATATTTTCAGTTATATTCAAATACAATGGAGTAATTTCACTTTTCTCTTATAATAAAAGCCAATCTGTTGTTTTAATCATAATGTCAATATCCAACAAGTTTCATTGTGTTTTTAGACCACAGAACAATTTTCATTACAAATGTATAATAAACACTCAAATAAATAAATGCAGACATTTTCAAAGTGAACATGAATTAAAATGGTAAAATATGTTTTTATTTTTTTAACTAAAGCTCAGCAATTGAAAAAATCTTCTTTTTTTTTACTTTAAGAAGAAGTTTTAAGATTTTTTCAAGGGTTCGTTCCAGGGTTCTAAGATAGTAAAAATAATGTTTGGTTATTTTTTTTCAAAAAAATTGCTTTTGAATTTGGCACAGAAATTATCAGAAAATATTTTTGTTGTACGAAAAAATTAAAATTAAAAAAACACGTTTTTCACTGTAGATGGGTCTGGGAGGTGGAACGGGGGCTAAGAAATCTTTCAAAAATATTATGTTTATGTTAGAACTATAGTTTTACTCATATGCCATTTGGTTTACGTGAACTTTGTACCATCTTGTCTGGGAGCACCCATTGCTCCATTAATAAAAGATCCGAAATCCTGCCTCTGGCAGCTGGCAAGTCCGAATAGCTAGCCGAGACGAAAGGAAATAAAAAACGAATACGGAAAAGTCTGTGTCATTCTGTAGCGCCTCTAGTTTCAGGCAGAATTACCTAACTTTCCCTATACTACGTATGTATGCATACGGGAAAGTAAAAAAAAATGGCTCAACATTTTTTTATTGAATTTTGAAGTTGATTAGTGCGAAGGACGTTGGAGAGAATGGTGCATGACTCATTTTCCTTGACATCCCCGATTTTCGAAAATTGGGGAAAAAAATTAAAACTTCAGAATTGGAGATAGAGAGTTTTGTCACAAAGTCTATTGTACCAAATTAACTCTTTAAAAAAAGGTCATGTACAATTTTTTTCAAAAACGAGTAGTTTTTGGGCAGCTTGAAATTAATAAAATGTATACAGGTTTCACACCAACTACGGTCCATGAGAAAAATTGAATGAATGATATGAAAATTAATACATTTTTTTTAAAATTAGGCTCCCTCTTCTAAGTTGAATTATAATTTACTATTGAATATGCTAAAATTAATTTTATTTTTACATTCTGACTTTTTTTACTTTTTACTCAATTTGTATTCTCAGTGTATTGATGTGTTTCTTTTAAACAATTTGCAAAGCTCAAATAACAATGCTGCATCAGTATTTGAGAAGCTAATTGTTGTCAAACGTCGAATGGTGGCGGTGATAAGATACAGATGTTTTATTTAGTCCAGCTGGTGGTAGTCGTCTATCTCTAATGCTGAGAGCCAGTACTTCCGTTTGCGATGAATTTCGTGGGTTTTTATAAATTACTCCTCAGAATGCCCGATGAGGTAAATTATATACCATTTCATATCATCTGGTTCCTAAACATATTTACTGCGAATTGAATGACAAAAAACGAAGAAACGTTATGGAAACTTACATAAACTTACATACGACAAAAGTCAAACTCACGAGTGAGCAGCCAGAATTCTCGTAATTATTTTGATGTAAATTGCACATATTCTAATTACTTTATTGATAATATTAGCCAAACGAATGCACATAGTTTTGACAGTTGCGCTGGCAATAGTGCGTTGCTCGCTTCTTAATTGAATTGGGACATTTTCAAATAATAGCTGAGATGCTAGTACAGCAGAAAAAGAAATATTTCAATATTGTCTGTTTCCAGTAACGAGAGAAAGTATGTTCTGTTGGAACACCACTTGTTTCGATACATTTTAGACGTTTCTACAAGTTGTACTTTCCCGTATACGTACGTATATACGGAGTAATATTCGTGGTATATGGAAAGTTATGTAATTTGCGGAAAATCGAATCCGACATTCTACGGAAATACACATTTTGGGGTCCCCTGATACCGAAAAAGTATTTTGTTTATTTTGAAAATGACCGTCCGTCTGATGATGTCTGTGAACACTACTAGCGCATAAACCATGCGTATAGGATTTTTTCCAAATTGAAGAAACCCCTGTCCATCTGGCTCGAGTCGACACTTTGAGATTTTGAAAAACATTCTTCAAATTTTGGGGGTACTTTACATGAAGCCCTTCGAATATTTTCAAAATTTTCTCAAAAACAGCTTCAAGTTTTTTCTTTCAATTTCCTTTAAGAATAGAGTAACACACACGTATAAAAGTGCCATATGTCCATTTTTCGCAGTTAACTCCAAAATTCGAAAAATTTCTAAAGTATGAATTTTTTCGGTGCCTTCCTACAACTACAATATTGAAGATAGAGATATTTCCTTCAAATAAAATTTGTTTTTAATATTTGTTTTTTTCATTAAAGTCATGTACATTCTTTTGAAAATTTTAGTAGTTTTCGCGCAATGTGTGTTATTTTAGAAAATTACAAAAACAAGATTTTCTCACAAATGACTCCAATTTTTTTTTTCTTTAAACTTTTGTTAGGGATAATGCTAAATGTACTCTATAAGATATAAACGCCATATTGCTCTAGTCTTGAGTTTCTTTAAATTTCCTGTAAGAATAGAGTAACATACACGTAAAAAGTTTAAAAGTTCGATTTTCACGGTTAATTCTGATTTTTTGAAACATTCAAAAGTATGAATTTTTTCGGTGTTTCCTACAACGACAAAACTAAAGGTAGAGATTTTCCCCTCAAATAAAATTTCTTCTCTACAGCTAGTGCTTTCATTAAGGTCATGTACATTTTTTTAAAAATTTTAGTAGTTTTCGCGCAATATTGGGTGCAATCAGTAATATATACAAAAGCTTGAATTACGCATCTGAATTTGTTTTCCCTCCCCCCGGCCCGGGAGGATCAGCGTCTGCTTTACGGTGTCACCATAGTTTACCTTCGTGAGTTGCTGGCTACGGCACTGAGGATGGTGTATCATCGTTCATTCTTGCTCGTTTAGCAGCTGGTTGGTAGTTCGTTATTGTTCTTCGTCGGACATAAAATATTCAGAATTGAAATGATATTATTTAATTATTTGGAGAACTGAAATTAATTATTGCAATGATCAGTAACATTCGGGAAATAAGTAATTTAGAAGAGTAAAAGTAAAATATGATGATATTTCAATTTTTAAAGCCGTTTTACTGTGAAAAAGTCCATCGAATTTTTTAAATGTCGACCAAGGTTGAATGAATTGAACATTTCATTTTTTGCAAATCATTTTTTTCTGCCAATACCTTTCATGTGTTGGTAAATTATACCATCACTGGTTGTTGCATAATCGAAAGAAATGAATCTGCGATGAAACATCTTTCCGAAGATACGAATGCAGTAAGCTATCCGCATCATCGTACATTGTTACTCGAATGACCTGCCTTTCTGGTAATGTAGATTGTGTTTTGTCCCCAATCAAGTTCACCTGCATTGTTCAAAGAAGGAGTACTACAGTATTTAAAATGAAACAGTTCGTGTTGTGAAAAGATATTGTAATGAGGTTGCACCTGCCCAAATGCGGCCATAGGGCGGATGGCGTGACAGCGTGAAATCACAGCTGATTTGACACATGAATCATGGAGATTACACAGAGAGCTCTGGTGTATTGACTTATTTTCTCTCTGCCTAAGGCAGCATGCGTCACAAAAAATAGGGAAAAAACAGTTCAATGAGAATCTGTTTGTACCAGTGTTCGTGGGGCAATAATAGTGTGTTGACGCATTGGATATAATTTCGTATTGTTCAAAATGAAAATGGAAGACGACGCCTTCGCTGATGAAGTATGATTTACAGTACTTTGTTAATAATATGAATAGAATATTGACTTTTTTTATCATGAATTGTCATGTAATGTATGTAATTGTGTACTTGTTGCAGAGTCAGTTTGTTGTTGATGAAGTGAGTGCTATTATAAAAGAAGCTATCGAAAATTCAATTGGTGGAAATGCGTATCAACACAATAAAGTGAATCAGTGGACATCGTCTGTTGTAGAATCCTGCCTAGGAGCTCTAACAAAATTGCAAAAACCTTTTAAATATATAGGTAAAGTAGTTGAATAAGAGTATGACACTTAGAATTAAAGTAAATATTGAATATAGTGATAAAATAACATTAGTATTTGAATTAAATGAAACCAAGTACATTATCGAAAACCTTGCAGCAAAACCTTGACATGTTTCTTGAAGGGAATGTGTACTGATAAAAAAAACAAACAGAATTGTGAAATGAAGTATTTTTCTTCAATATTTGTCTTTAAGCAAATATTTTAAAACTTGTTTAAATATTTGCATATATGGTCATTATAGACATTTGTAAAAGTGCCTTGCAAGCCTTACTTATAATGAAGATTAATTAAGTCATTTGTAAACCTTAAATACAAAACAAAAGCACAATTAAAATTTTCTATAATATGAGTTAAAACTGATGACTAGAATCAATCCAATGTCTTCCCAGAAGGTCAGCCAAACATATGAAAAATAATATTATTTCTTAAAATTATTTGTTTAATTTAAAATTGCAGGACATTCTCAAGAAGAGTGAAAATATCTACCTATATAAGAATTTGACATTAAATATATATATTAGATATTCAGAAATCAAAGTTCCTATTTCGCCCAATGAATTCTATTTCATTTGTAGTGTACATAAATGTGCTATTTCATTGTAATACAAGCAACTGAAGATATTTGCATTAATTTTCTTTATTTTTTGAAATACCATTTCTGTTAATTTCATGAAGATGTTACCTTGTACATTAGTTTTTAAATATGTTAAAATTGTTGCTTCTTTTTTCCTACAACTATCTAGAAATTAAATGTTATATTAATATATTTTATAAATTTTGTGGGTTTCTATTTTCTTACAAATATATTAATTGGCAAAATGACTTAATATACAGATTTGCATAATTAAATTGAATTTTGTTTTTGTGTTTTTATCTAGTAACATGCACAATAATGCAGAAGAATGGAGCTGGACTACATACAGCTAGTTCCTGTTATTGGGATAATAGCACTGATGGAAGCTGCACTGTTCGTTGGGAGAATAAGACCATGTACTGCATTGTCTCAGTTTTTGGTTTGGCTGTGTGAATGTATGTGACTACCAATCTCGTTGTAAATTAAAATTTTTGTATTGTGTTGTATTTAATACTTATGACAAGCCGCAGAAGTAGGGGTATAATTACACTCTAATAACTTCATTATTCCTAAGTTATCAGTGTCTATTTATTGACTGTCTTTTTCTGTTTATTCTCGCTGATTGTAACTCCTACCTGAAACCATGCCTACATTTTATTGCAGCCTTTGAATTCAAAGTGAAAGTTGGTTTCAATAAAGCATTAAACTAACGAGGATGCATAATTATTAAATCCATACATTAACAATGCAATTTTATTTCAAAAAACTAATTAAATTAATTAAACTTGAAAAGCTTGGTTACAAACTTTGTAGAAAATAATTTATATATCAAATATACTTGTACATTAAAAAGTATTTATTTTTTCTGATCTTTTTTGTAGTTTTAATTTTTTAATTTAATGATCTCTGCATTTGTGCTTCTTTTCAATTTATTTTAACTAACAAAATCTGCAAGGCCGTTATGGTTACCACTTTCCTGTATTGACTGTAAAGAGATTCATGTACAGTTATCCAATACATTTCATTCAAAAGGGAATATTTTGGATAAAGAGGTCATAATGAAAGTGCAATTGCACCTTCCCATCTCTGAAATAGGCAGGGAAATAATAACTAATCTGCTGAGATATAATTTTAAGTTTCATGATTGTCACATTTATTAATGTTTAATATTGCAGTTGAGGATACCCAAAATTGTAATAATAAAAAATAATACACAAGTGCAGACTTGTGTTGGTTTGCACTATAAAATGCAATGATTTTTTACCTATTTGCTGCATGAATTGGATAAAAAAGAGCATTTTATTCCAAAGATAAATCATTTTTTAACCTTTTGTGCTTGAACAGTAGAGATGTCATCTTGAAACAACACACACACACCAACTTAGAGATAAGAAGCCCTGCAGCTTGATCGGTATCTCTTCAATGCCATTTTGAAATAGCATGGTGTAGTGGCTCTTGCTGCTTGCACAAATATTAGATCCTTCAGCAAGACCATGTTAACTTCCATCAAATTCTCAGTAAAAAATGGCTGGAAAAAATTTCAGATGGATTGACAAGTACTCCTTGGATTGTAACCTGAATTTAAATTGAGTGGAAATTCTATATGCCTGATATCTGCATTGAACCGCAGAAACCATGAACCTTCAGGGTTCTCGTTTTGAATTGTACTGTCATCACTAGAAACCGGAACAGGTGTTATTTAACTGCGCTTCTGGAGTTGTTTTGGAAGATTTTCATTCTACCAAATTTTAGTACTTTATCTTCCTTATCCATCAGTATCTTTTTAATTTTCTCGCCCAAGTATGTAGTTAAAGGAAGAAATAAAGAGTTCCACCTCACAAAAGGTGAGGTATATTTTTTGTTTTTTGCATGAAAAAAGGCATTTTTTGGTTTTAGAATAATTACTTTTTAATGGCTGATCTTCGTGTGAACAGGACCAAATTGTTTAGAAATTTTTCGAGGAAATAGTAAAAGAGCAACGAAATTTCAAAACGTCACTAAATTTTGCTTTTTATTCTCAAGTTGCCCCAAATTACAAATGGTCTCTGTTAATCTATTTTTAGGTCCTAAGGTCATTATGAATTAAAAATAGCTATTAAATACTTATCTTTTTAGGTCTTACTTAAACTTGTGATTGGATGATACATTCTGCCAACACGATTTTTTAAGTTTCTTTTTATTTATTTTACATTGAAAACTGCGTGACGTGCGTCGGGGAGAAGAGTACTTTGTGCAGGCTTTCTTAATTCTGAGATCCCTACCCTAAACCATACATACAAGTTAAATTCTAAAATCTGAAAGAAATGAGTTTTTTTGGCAAGAATTGTCAACAAAATATTCGCTCCGATGTAATAAATTTATTTTCAAAGGCAAATCAGCTATAGTTTGGAGATCTTATCCCTCACGTCCTTCGTGAAAGAATATACTTCTGCCGCGGTAATATGGAGATCGATAATTTGAATAACTATATTTCCCACTGAACTAACGGACCTGCACAGATAATGAAGTTAAATGTATGACCAGAAGCAAAACAAGGGGGCATATCACCTTTTGCTCAATGGATCAGGGAAACTGGAGGAAAAAAACCGTAAGAATCGCATGAACTTGCAACTGAGGCTCAACCGTAATTGGGGGGGGATTTCAGCCAAACAATACTGACTCCGTTTTTACACTCCAAGGTTGTTAGGCTTGGGGAGATGAGGTGAAATGATGTTGAATAGGACTGTGATTTATATGCGTTTGCATATTTTTGTCTTAACTAAAGTATCCCGTTTCAACACGTATGCGCTTTGAGGCATTTAGAATCAATTTAAGCTATTTTTTATTTCGCATATATCAACATAATTTCATATTTTTGTTGCATATTCACCCCTCCTCAGCAAAAAAAAACAACAACAACAACATTTACAGTTCCGTCAGCGTGTAAGCGGCTCTGATAGTTCTCTCGCAATTTGTTAAGGTACATCATGTGACCTACTCTGAAGCAATAGGCTCCCGAGGATTTGTAAACGTTGCCATAACCACGGATCAGCGTTACCACTCGCCTGACTCGTACGAAGTCGTTCGAGAAGTACGCTAAGATCTGGCATCGACAGAATCGAAATGAAATGTGCATCCGCCGAGCGCCTATGCGTGCCCACACACGGCGCAAACGTGGAGTGGTGTTAAAAGAGCCAGGCTCGTGAATTTGTCTGGTAGTGCGTCCTTTTTAGCTGAGTAGTGAAGGAGACCAGCCGGAGCTAACGCTTAACGTTTTCAACGCCGGAGTTTGAATGACAATAAGGTTTGGCTGTGGCGAAGGCTATGATCGTGACCTTAAACAACATCCATGACATCGATTTGGCAACACTGCAAGCCTGCATAGTAGGGATCTTACTACGGTCTTATTTTCAAGTCTTTCCGTAGTATGTATGAATTTTCCAATGCACAACGTCTTAAATGACGTAACAACAGTTAATTGTAAACTGCAAGCCATTAGATAAATCTTATATTGAAAAAAAAGTTTTTAAATTTCTTTTGAAAATACGAATGAGAGTTTATTAAATGGAAAAAAGGAGAAAAATAATAAGGAAGACAAAATACTATGTTTAATTTAAAAACATTCTTTCCTTCCCTCCCTGTTTTCAAAAGTTATTGAAATGTTTTATGTATAAACGACTGCTGCGTATATAGTTAGCTTGAGTATTTTTTTTTTATGTTTGAAGCCTTTCGCCTTTCTCTCACCTCCATACGGAAATTTAAAGACGAAACATAATCTTCGTTACTTGATGCACAAAAACCAGGGCAGTGTCACACAAAAATGTTTTGGCATCAGAAAGCAAGCAAGCAAACTTCGATAGAAAAAATAGAATATGTGAAAAAAATACTCAAGCTTGTTGGTGTACACAAATATATTTAAAGCCGGTTTCACCAACAGCCGAGTAAAGTTGAGAGTAGTTACCCGAGAGTAACCATTTACTCTAAGATAGTAATTCTCGAGTAGAATATGAGCGTTTCACCATGCTTCTAGAGGGTTATTTTACTCTAGAGTACATACTCTCCGATTTACTCCGCAAATCAGCTGAACACACAATATTTGAGAGCGATTGAAGAGGCTGTGAGCGAGAATGACGCTGGGAACCAATCCGGACCAACGCAAATATTTGATTAATTCCTTATATTCTATAATTCATTTCAGTTTTGGAGTTCTTGGCGTTATAATCTGGTGTGGTGTTATGGTGGTTTGAGTTAGCATATTTTATTTCCTAGTTTCTGTATCTTTATTTCTTAATAAATATTCATTGTTCTTCTCTGGAGACGAGTTACTATTTAGTTAGCAATGCAGAAAAATCATATTTGCAGTTCGTTTACCGATGGCGGTGCAAATGAATTTTCTATAACTAGGGAACGAAAATGTTTAGTTTTTCAAATGTCGCTGATCTCGTGCTTTTCTAAATTTTATTATTGTACGTTGTTTTACCTTTTTAAACTTTTATTCACCTTTCAACTATTTGTAGTTAAAATGTTTGAAAGAGATTCTGGAACTCCAGAAAACGCGCAAATGATCTCCCCCATACGTCATATACACTTTTTACTGAATAAATAAATGAATATTTCTTAGTACTTGTAGTCCCTGTAGTTATTATTTTTCCTTTTGTTGTCGTATTCGGTACGTACTACCTTTATTTCGTATCTACGTGGGAGAAAAATAAATTTACAAGTTCTCTACAGTTTACAATGTATCTGATGAAGTTAAACAGCTCATTTGGTCAAACATAACCTCATGACAAAATTTCGATCGTCATAATTAAAACCAATCCGTTCTCTCTCGTACCCTTTGTCTTCTCACTAGAGGATAACATTCCGAATCATTGCTGGAATCGTCTTCAAATACTATCATTCGTAATCGTCGAGCCATAACAATTCTTCGGAGGTACATGCACGTTGAAAACTGAGCTTACTCCGTACTTTACCCCACGGATTTTCGCAGTGTAAAGTTACTCTCGAATTTACTCTCGTGTAAGCGATTTACACTCGGGAGTAAAGTGTGGTGAAACCACTCAAGAAATTACTCTCGAGCAAACATGATATACTCCAGAGTAAACTCTTAATCTTTGTTTGGTGAAACCGCCCCTATAGTGTTAACTCGTACAGACATATCGTTTTACAATTCTACGTAAATGAAAGAAAGTAAGAAACTTTCTCCTTTAGAAACAAGTAAAGGTAATAAGTAAAGGATTCTTGATGATCATCTGACGAAACAATGTTACATTGTAAAAGAACAATCATGAATAGTGACTTTAAAGGCAGCTATTAGTATATATATATATATATATATATATATATAATATATATATATATATAATATATATATATATATAGAGAGAGAGAGAGAGAGAGAGAGAGAGAGAGAGAGAGACAGAGAGAATGAAAAGTCAATAAAAGTAGAAAAATCAAGTATTTAAATGGCGGGTCAGTAAGCCATTTCCTTCATTGAAGCTGTATATTTTCCCGTTTGGCTTGCAGTCTGGTCGTTTTGTCTACAACGCCCTTTTCTATTATTTATTCTCCATTCAACCAATGTTGGCAAAGGAAGAGGAAGGTAGATATTCCGGGACTCTAGAAAACGTGCGCGTTTTCGTGAATATTCAAGTATACTTCATACCAAGTACATAAGGTAGGTTATGTCACAAACTTGTCACAGAAATGAGAATGTCAATACTTGTTACAATACATTTGTCTGTTGCGTGGGAATTCTGCCGATGAAGGCAGATATACTATTTTTTCTTAGGGTATCGTGAAACTGAAACTTGAGAAGATAGAGTCCGTGTCCATCGTAGTTCCCTCCACAATTAGGTACAAAACACTTTTAGACCCCGGCAAAACGTCAAATGAACGGTTGCACTGTACGCATAAGAAACAATCTTCATCGATATAAAGGAAATTATTAATAGTACTTCTAGATGTTTCTGCGAGAGCGAATCTTGAATTAATAATTATGCAAATAAAACTCGTCAGTCTGCGCAACCCACGATGTACGCAAAGCGTAAATAGTATATGACAGCGGAATCTAAGTCATCTAATCGTGACGTCACAAAGATTGCCACCATCCCAAGTATTGAAATATTGATTATATCGATAAGTGCCGAACCAGCGAAAATTGAATAGAATGCCCAAGAATATATCATCATATGGATTACGGTGTGAGAAACGTATAGAACGAAAACACCAAGTCACACAACTGCCAACGACAATCCAGACACATCATTTAAATGTTGGCGGTATCGGGAAGTCTGTTCATCAATGCCCAGCTGTTAACTCATATTGTAAATAATACATCGTTTGACATTAAACTTAACGTGTAGGTTCGCTAAGATATTCATTACGTAAACATCATTTGAGCAACATTCCCCTGTACCGGAGTGAAGGCTAAGGTCACTGAATTGTTTCTAATGGTAACAAATAGTATTTATTACTCAAAGGTGAAAATATTACTTTTATTATTTTTTGGCTCGAAATTGCTTTTCTTGAGGTACGAAAGAACGCAGAAAATAATCCAGTACTTTTTAGAATACAAATAATTTTTCAATTTTCGCACCCCAGCAAGTCGGCGCCCTACAAGTCAAACCCCCTCTGTTTCCCATAACAAATACAGGAAAGTTAAATAGTTTTGCGAAGAGTGAGGCTGTACTTGTCCGATCCTGTATTTTCGCATGGACAACTTTACTTGGCTTTCTCAAGAGTAAAAAAACTTTTCTAGTATTTTTGTGGCTATCAAGGAAAGGGAAAGCTGTCAAGGACGATTGAATAATTTTTTCAAATATTTTAAGGAAATGTGAGCTGTTTGAAGAACATATCTACACCATGTGATCAAAAGTATCTGGACACGAAGCTGAAACTGTCTTACAAGTTCGTGGAGCCCTCTATCGGTAATGCTGCAATTAAATAGGTTGTTGGCCCACCCTTAGCATTGATAACAGCTTCCACTCTCACAGGAATACTTTCAATCAGGTGCTGAAAGGTTACTTGGGGAGTGGTAGCCCATTCTCCACGGAGTGCTGCACTGAGGGGGTATCGATGAAGGTCGGTGAGGCCTCGCACGAAGTCGGCGTTCCAAAACATCCCAAAGGTGTTTGATAGGATTTAAGCCAGGTCTCTGGGCAAGCCAGTCCATTACAGGGATGTTATTGTCGTGTAACCACTCCGCCATAGGCCGTATAGTATGGTGATCGATCGTGTTGAAATATTCAATCGCCATCCCCGAATTGCTCTTTAATAGAGGGAAGCAAGGTTTTCAAAACATCAACGTAGGCCTGTGCCATGAAAGTGCCACACAAAACAAGGGGTGCAAGCCCCCTTCATGGAAAACACGATCACGCCATTGGACGTGTCCGGATATAATAATGTCCGCCATTGGAGGTGTCCGGAATAAACCTTTATTGAAAATTTATTTCCGACATCAATTACATTTTATTTTTGTTGATATTCTGTAAGTTTAATTTACATTTACACATTTGTTAACAAATAAACACGTTTCATTAAGTACTTTCCTTCTTAATGGAAAGGATAGATAAATGGATAGAGAAAGGGTGAGGATTAACATGCGAGAGTTGTCGCACGGGTAAGCTAGCAATACTATTCCTTCTATTGAGCAAGATTAAATGAATAAATATTATAAATCTTTAACATTTTATCAAATGTTAATTTGTACAGCAGTAGACTTTTGAATATTCAATTTCATTGGGTCCGAGATTATCTCTGGCATGAAAATCTCTAAAAAAAAACATAGTATGTAGTCAATTCCAGGCCAGAGTCACATATGCAAATACTGTATTTATACTAATTTAGCTGCAGCCCACGGTAAAGCATGGTGGGGATAACATGGTATAGGGGTGCATGTCAGTAGCTGGTGTGGGTTAAATGACTTTCATTGAGGACACACTGAATAAGGAACACTATCTGACAATACTGAGACAAAATTTGCACAAAAATGCCGAAAATTTGGGAATAAGACACATGTTTTATTTTTATCAGGACAATGGCCCAAAACACAAAGCACATATTGTAAGACAATGGCTACTTTACAATAGTTCAAAAGTTTTGGATACCCCTCTCCAATCCATTCAGAATCTTTGAGAAATTCTCGACAGGAAAGTCAGGAAAACCCCAATTTCTTCAAAAGAAGAGCTGAAGAGAAGATTGAAAGAGGAATGGGGAAATTTAAGGCCTGAAGAAATGGAGAAAATTGTGTTAAATATGCCTAAACGTTTACGAGAGGTTATTTACCGTAGAGGTTACTTACATAAAGGTAATAAATATTAAAATTATTTCTGTTTGTAAATATTAGTTCATATATTTGAATATTAGTTCAGTATTGTTCATATAATTATCTAAATGAACGAATATTTAAGTGGCATGTATTATTCTTTCTATTTTATTTTATCCCAAAATGTATTTGTAAAGTTCAAAAATTTTGATTTTTTGATTTGTTGCAATAAACATGATACTATTGAATGCTCGTATATGTTTTATTGTTTTTCATCCCACTTTTTTTGTAAAAATTAAAAATCTTTAGAATAAGACAGTGACTGAATATTAAAGTGAGCCTCTGTACATATCGCAAAATGTTGTATATGCAAACTAATTCCACTGTGCCAATCAGAGGTGTACTTCCTATTTGCAAGTCCGGGTCCAGACATGTTCCGCAAGGTCTACCAGTTTGCAAGTTCGGGTTATCAAAAGTATGTTATATCAGACCATCTTTGTTAAATGTCATATGAGCATGCTTCTTATGACACAACCTCGGGTTTGATTCCCAGTTACGCAAGATTATAGTGTGTGTTTTCCTTGCAAATGTTTCTGTGTGACGATGAGCACATTTACTTCTCAGGTTGAGAAGACCAGAATATGGCTTGGGGATGTTTTCATGCCAACCACACATACTCCCTTCACCCATGGCAGCAAGGCCAGCAAGGACGTCGCTGGTAGGCCACGGCTCATACAAGGGCTGACGCACAAAATACAAACAAGAAAACAGGAAAATAATAATGTAATATTTATTTTTGCCTTACATATTATAAAGTATATATTTCATATAATATCAAGAAGTCCTTTATCTTTCTTCTTTGCTTTCTCTTCCTGTTGCTTTCTTAAAAATTTGAGGCCAACAGAAATTGACTTTTCAATTTCATCCATTTTTGCTGATTTTTTTGGTCCCTTTCCACGTCCTGCACTGTGGCCGTAATACTCATATGTGGGAGGAGGCGGAATTTCAGTGCCTTTTCCTCGTGGTTGCTCAACAGTTTCCTCATCAGATGAAATTTCAATGGGATTCGTAACTTCATTCACAATTTTTTTGTATTTTTGCTGCACCACCTCCTGAAGCATAAAAACAACTTTGTAAATTACAAATTGAAGAAAATAATTAGTATTTACAGCAATTTTGGTGAATTCATATTTGATTTCACATCCACATAAAAGATGCAATCAGGTGAAATACTACAATTATCTAAAAGGACCTGCACATGGTTTGGGTCCACAATAAACAATTTTCAAGATACGTTTCAACCACCCAAACTCTTCCCCTTCTTGTGTAGACAAAAATTAGATAAAAAGAAAGAAAAAAAACTTATTAAAGCTCTCTGCCCCTACTCAAAAAGCATAATACAAAGATTCGTTCTCCTAACATTGTTGATATTAACCAGGAGTCTACTTTATCCTACACAATATGGTGAGGGACTGCAGAGATGCATGGTAGAACAATTGTTGCCCTAGAATTAATTGTAGAAGAGTGAATTTTAAAACATGAGTAAAGTATACGCATATCAACTTTCGAATTTTCAGCTCTTAAATACTTTTTCAACTGACTTATTCAATTAAAAATACGAATTTCACATCAAATAAATTATTGTCTGCCTCTCCGTCTGCACTGACGTAACTCAAAAACTACTGAATACAAGGACGAAAGGGTACCCCGGATAAGATGATAAAATTTTCCCTAAAACCAAATGACATACAAGTAGTTATACTACAACTCAAAAATAAAAGTAATATTTTAATACAGTTATTAGCGGGGCATGGTTAATTTTTGGAGATGTTTTACATGATGCCCCTGCGACATTTTCTATTTTGGTTAAAATGACTCAACATTTTTTTCTTTAAATTTCTGGTAAGAAAAGAGTAAAATACACATAGAGAGTAAAAGATGACGTAGGTCCGACGTTTACAGTTAACTCTTAATTTTCGAAAATTGCAAAAGTTTAAAATTTTTTCGGTGTCTTCCTATAAAAACAATTTTGAAGACAGATATTTTTCTTTCAAATGAAATTTGTTCTCCAGAACTAGTTCTTTCATGAACGTTATTTTTTTCTTTTAGTCTTTTGGATATTTTGGTCCTTCCGGTCTGACGAAAGTATTTTGTTTTCTTCGTTGCATTCACAGATTTATCAGAACACTTGAGCATCATCTTTAGCACTAGTGCTAAAATTGAACTTTTAGCACGGTAGGCATTCCCTGAAAGAGCAGTTTTAACAGAGGCTGTCGAAAATAAGATGTATTCTCATGCATTAAGTTATGAGCCTACGTCATGACAAAATCCTGTCACGCCCAAATCCATCACAGCGTTCTGATTGGATGATTGAAATGGTCTTTTCATGTACTAGACGTTTGGCGCATTCAAGTACACACATTGAGGTTTGAGTGACACAAAATTGCCTTTCGATTATTTAATTTCAATGATTCCAAATTGTACAGGTGAAAGATCATTAAGTAAACTTAAAAAGATTAAAAACTAGTATCGAGCAGTAATTGGACAGGACAGATTCAATACATTAACAATAATTTGCAGTCAAAATAATAAGAGGTTTCTTTCTTTCGACAATACTATTGCTGATATTGTGAACAAAATATCGCTCAAACAACAGTATTGTTTTTATTCATGAATAATATATATTGCAGCTAATTAGAACATATATCAACACTGCATAACACATTATGTTATCCACCAGGGTTCAAACTGGTGGCCCGCGGTGCCATTTATTGTAGCCCACGAAAGGTTATTAGTCAAATGGAGGACGTTATTTACTTATCTTTCCAATTCTTTACCAATTGAATGTGGAGTCCTGCAAGGTTCGATCTTATGTCCTATCCTCTTTCTGTTATACGTAAACGATATGCTCTCGTCTATTAAAAATGGAAGAACGGTTATGTTTGCCGATGACACGAATGTTCTTTGCAAACAAGAAACAATAAATAGTACGATTTCAGAAGTTTCAAATTAGTATTGTAATAAACATATTAATAGATAACGAAGGAAAAACTATATTAGGTTCATAATGTTACGCATTCAGAATTCTTTCAGCCTTCAGGCGGCTCGTTGCATTTTTGCAAATGTGCACTCCCGCCTGAGATATGGCATACTATTCTGGGGAAGCTGTTCATGTAGTACTCAGACTTTTAGATAGCAAAAGAAAATTATTCGAATAATGAAAAATGCCATCCGTGTGAACCCTGCACGCCTTTCTTCATTGATCTAGGAATCTTACCTATTTATTTACGAATCTGTAATACTTGTCAAAAATGACTTAAATGTGGGTCGTATATTCAGGCTGATATTTATAATTACAACACACGTCGTAGAAATCACGTACATCAAGTGTCAGAATCAACAGCTTACTACCAGAAATCCACATACAATACATGTACATTACTTTACAACGCATTGTCAGATGACATTAAACAATATAAGTCGGTTCACAAATTTAAGTTAAAAGTAAGATATTTTCTGGTGCATAACTGTTTCTATACAATTAGACACTATACTGATCATCAAAACTTGCAGTTCGGCCAACGGTGGCCCAACCAACATGCAAGTATTTTGGGACGTCTTTGCCTCAAACTGAAGATTGTTTTATAAAAATCCATGAGAGAATTTTGATTTAAGTTGAATGTGAAACAACATAAATTCGAAGATCTATTTTTTAGTTTGTCATACCACCGGTGATATTATACAAACTGGAACACCAAACCAGTGGCCTAAAAAATTGTCATATTTCTCTACTAGTGATGAATACTGATAAGAATTTTGTGAAATTACTAGATTTTTTAAATTGTCAATACTCCTAATTTATTCGTTGTGTTTGCCCACTAAGGAAACAAAAACAACAAAAAAAACTCGTTTTTTAAAATTGAAGTGGCTCATATTTTCAGAATTATTAGTCATTTAATGTAATGTAATGATAATAATAAATTGGTAAAGAAAGACTAATCGATTCATATTTCAATACATATTGATGCTGCGGCTCATTCCTATTTCTAAAACAAAGATTCATATAAGAGCCACGCAACTATGGCCTGCCTAATCCACTGTCTTTTGCAATGTCTATATTACTTCGAAGACAAAACACCTTCGGAATATGTGTGCCAAAATACATACATCAAATGTAACAGTTTTCGTAACTTCACATTATTATTTTACTACTTACATTATTAAACATTGTTGTTTTCTTTTTATGGAATTTTCAATCCCCGCTTTCTCTATTTCTCCAAGTGAAGGTTTGGACTACTATTGAGCCCAACGTCTAATTTTTTTCTGATTCAGAGAAAAATATCATACAACTTACCTTCTTAGTGCTTCGTTCTCTATTTCCACTTTCTTTGCTGTACATAAATGATTTGTTTACAGATGGAGGTGGTTTCGAAACATCAATGTACACATTGTCTGGTAATGAAATCAAACTACTTTCTGGTTTTGAAGTACGTCTCTGATCTTTGCTGGAAAAGAAAAGGGACTTCGGCTTATGCACGGGGAGTACAGGTCCTATCTCTACTTCTGGTGACTCTCTATCAGGGGATTTAGAAGCACGTGATTTCGAGGAGGAAGCCTTATTTTCTTCATACATTCGAGGAGGAGCGAACTCATCATTTCTTTCCTTTCGTTTTTTCTTCACCCAGTCTTCTTGAGACATTTCTGAAATAAAATGGTAAAATGTAATAATACATAAGAGTTCAGTGTCATTTAGTAAAATTGTTGAGGGAGCATGACTCCCACGCCCCCTCCCCCATGGATTCGCCACTGGGCGTATCTTGGAACATATTAGAAAATTTGATAGCAGATACTATGTTTCAAAGACGTTTGATGAGAATAGTTTTGCAACAGTTAGTTGAAACAAGTCATACATTACGTAGGTTTCGACATACTAATTATTGTAATTGTATTTAATTGTAACTATTACATTTACTACACGAATTACTTTAGCACTATTTCCGTATAATTATAACTCAGACAAGATAATCGGAATTAGATACTTGTTTCAACAAGTTTGGTGAATAGTATTTTGGATCAGATCGATTGCCGTTATGAGCGACAAAATTGAAGTTTTAAAATAGAACCCCTCAATCCGACTGGGTTGGCACCGGAGTTAGAACTCAGACAAGATGGCGGAGGAGAACTTTTCTACAGCACTTCCTTAAGTTGGATGTGGTGGCAAGGTTTCAGGAAGTTCCAATTTATTTTCGAATCTATCCTTCACATCTGATATTACAGCTCGAGTCTTCTTTCAATACAATTTATCCCTCAAGTGAATGGCGTTGTGCAGAAAGCGACCAACCCTACAAAAATATACAAATTAAGCAATGATCACCATTCCTTTGATTTTCGCATGGCATCCAAATGACGTTTCCATTGTGCTGATTTTTGGTCGCAGAAAAGCTAAACCACAATTTAAAATCTTAAGTTTATAAGTTGCACAAAATTACCAACAAAAAATAGTCAATTAATTTAAAACTAATGTTATTTGTGTGTTAATCCTCGACATCCTTGACATCTCATTTTCAGGGAGCATCCTTGCTGCTCGAAATTTTAAGATACGTCCCAACTTCTCGAGACATTTTTCAATCATTTGTTGAAAGATTGTGGTGGATTGGATTCTTTATGTATAACTTCATTCAATTGCAGATCTTTAAATGATGCCATGCACTTTAAAAAAAAATCTGATTTCTTGAATAGTTTATTTCAGAAACCCGTCAAAGGCCAAATTCCTCATTTCGAGAAAACTGAGAATAAGACTCCCAATTTTTCATATTTCAAACTATTTTTTTATTTAAATGAGTAGATACATGATTTTTTTTTCATATAAATATGCTCTAAACGATGTGTCTATCCTCCTGGAACAATAATCCGTCGCTAAAGTGTCTAGTGTATTTTTTCGTTTGACGGGTTTCTGAAATAAACGATTCAATTGTTGAGTAATAACAAGAAGGGGAGGAAAACTTCGGTATACCGTGCATTTCCACTAGTTTTTACCTTGAAATGGCTTCCTCTTTTCCTTCCCAAAGTCCCATGGACGAACTGTTTGAGCCTTCTTAATAATCTCCTCTTCTTTTGCAAGTCTGTCAGCTTCCATTTCAGCAACTCTCTTCGCTTCTTCATCTTCTTTGGTATCATCATCGACATCATTTGGCTCGGGAGCTAGAACAAATAGTAATATATACATGTAGTTGTTAGTTCCTTGTACAGAACATTGAAGATGATAACACCCTCGGCCATAGAATTAAACAGTTATAATTTAAATTAGTATTACCTTAAACAATATAAACTTAAATTGTCTTCTGTTTTGAGTATCAAACTTCTTTAATTTCTTCTACCTAGTTCCAAATCTTTTTGCACTTTGCAATAGAAATCCTACTGGAGAATAATTGTTTGACATTCTTAGGCCTGGTTCTTCGATGTGAATTGACAATGAACGGTCATTGGGCCCATTTTCATGCTATTTACAGTGGACACCGTGCAAATAAACCACGGAACGACTCGTGCATACCACTTTTCCTATGCACGAAACGCCGGTCGTAGAATCGAAAGGTCATTTGCATACCCGAAAAGACGCTCCGCAGTGCATGAGAGGGTGTGCAGTATAAAAGATATTACTCGCTCTCGATTCTATATAGAATGTTTGTTATTCACGCCCCAAATTTAATTTACGAAGATCTTCCTTTCATCGTTTGTATCCGAACAGAGTACATCATATTTCCGGAGATACCAATATGCTTGCTGAATTGATTCATCATAAGCACTACCTTCTCGCAGACCAAAATCGGGCGAGGCCGAGTAAACGATGCAACATCGACAACAGAACGTGTTATCCATCATCGATATTCAAAATTAAAACCAAAATGAAGACCCAAAAACATCGATGTTTTAACGCTGGTTTAAAAGCTTCTTAACATACAATTTGTGGGCAATAATTTAAATAGTCAGTGGCCGTGATTATTGATGGATAATAAAGATTTAATTGAAAAACAAAATAAAACTATAGGCTACAAAAGTACATGTTTTCTCGCATTATTTCTAATAGCTTTAATAAATTATTTCTAATTATATAATACTACTACATAGCTCGCAAAAGTGTTTTCAACCAGCAAACATGTTTTTACGCTCCGAGACCCGAACAATGATCCTCAGAGTTAACATGCCGTCACTCGTACTACTACTCCACAGAATCGGTTTTCCGTCAATCGATAACTTTATAAGTGTATTCTATTCTTTCAAAAATTGAAAGAACAAAATTGTAGCGATTTCTTAGAAACTTTTGAAAATGTCCCCGGTGCTTCATGTAAAGTACCTCCCAAAATTAAAATATCAGTTTCAAATTCAAAGGATCGCGACATCAGCCAGATCGATGGGGAAATCAATTTTGGAGAAAATCGGCTGAACGGTTTGGCCGCTAGCATCGTTCGCAGACGGACGGACAGACGGTTTGCCGTCATTCGATTTCTGGGTATCAAAGACTCACAATACATGGATTCTAGCTTGATCACGTGTTAGTGAATTTCTTTTCTAAATTTAGCAGCTAGATTTATCCCCTTTTTCGTTCCGAGGGCCAGGCAATAAGAGTATGTCTCAAAAATACGCCGTTTTTCCCTCGCAGAATTACAATACCTTCTTTATACTGTGTATGCAGTAGCGAAAAAGTAAAAAAATGGTACCGTTTTTGAAAAAAAATTGTTAAAAAATTAAAAATTGTCTGTTTGCGCAAAAAATACTGAAAGTTTCAAAAAACTGACCATGACCTTATTTAGAGAGCTGTTTTTGATTAACATACTTCACTAATAAAACATTTATCTTCATAAATAAAGTTGGAGGAAGAGGCCAAAAAATTAAATTTTGATATTTTTTTGCAATTTTCGAAAAATCAGTGATTTCATCGAAAATGAGACCTGCGCAAATCTCTGTTTAATCAAAGCATTTTTTAGATAAAAATTCTTTTCAAAGTTAATAATTGCTTATATTTAACCCAAAATTACGCAAAAACTACTCAATTTTTCTAAAATTTCAACATGACTTTATTTCAGTATCTTTCTAATGAACACATTTCGTTTAGAAAAAAAATATATCTTCAATAGTTTAGTAGTAGAAGTACGCCAATAAAATTAAACTTTTGCAATTTTCGCAAAATCAGGGATTTTAAGGAAAATGAGACCTGCATCGTTCTCTTAAGCGTCCTTTACGCTATCCAATAACAATATTAAATAAAAAATCGTGAGCCTTTTTTTTTAAATTTTTGAAAAGGTCCCAGAATCTTTGTGAAAAGTAACCCTCAAAATTAAAATATCGGTTTCAAATTCAAGTGGCCGCGACATCAGCCAGATTCCTAAGAGGAATATCATTTTTGGAGAAAATGGCTTTTCGGGTCAAGAGTCGAGAAAGTCTAGGCCCGAGAAAGCCGTGTTCGACATATCAATTCGGGGCAATGTATAGCTATCCTTCGTTACATTGTTGAGCTGTCGGAAATCGACACAGAACCGAGTCGAACCTTCTTTCTTCTTTACCAATACGAAAGGGAAACCCGCGGACTGCTTGATGGTCCGATCATGCCATCATTCTTCATTTAATAATCTCGTCTGCCTCTTCGTTTGTAGCCAAATGTAACCTTCTAGTAGCTTGTCGAATCGGTGTGGCGTTGCTAGCGTTTATTTTTTGTCGAAAAATGTCAGTATTTCTTCTTACACCACCATTGCATTAAAAACATTCTGGTATCGCCTTATTAGCTCTTCGACCCTGACATTCTTTACAAGCCCCTGTAATCATATTCTTTAGCCGTTCAGAAGAAATCCTTTAGGTAGTGGTTCGGCATAAACATTTTGCAAAACAGATGCTGCCATAGAATAATAACCAATTACTGTCTTTTCTTAAGTTAACAGGATTATGATTAATGTTCATTACTTTTTCAGGTATTGTTCGATTCACTCTGACCTGTTCTTTGGATACTATAATTCCTCGGCCGAAGTCTTCTCCCTGTCTTTTGGGTTCCAGAATAGCAATCTCTCCAGCTGGTACGTCGTTGTCAGGGTTGCTTCTATAAATATCTCGCTACACTCCGTCAAGACTACGTCGATAGCAGTAATCACATTTACGTCGATGTTGTTACGCGAATGCAGGACCAATTCTACTTCGTCGAGCCTCAGTACGACTCGAAAATATAACTGACATCCATGTCTTCATGATACCCATTCCTAAAATTGCTTCTTCTATGTCTGCGATCAATAGACGATGATTGAAAGCAGCAGTTCCAATGACAAGGAGAGCACCCATCTCTCCAACAACATTCGCCTAGTTCCCAGTGGCTGTTCAAAGTTTCCATTTGGATGACACAAGGTGAAATGACTTGGCAAAATCGATTTTTATAATGCTCTTTGTTGCACTGGTGTTCAGGAGTAAAACGCATCGCCTTCCATTTAAGAGTGCGACTTACAAAAGGCTGTCATATCAGTGTCAAAAGGACGCAACGTGTACCTTGTAAGGTGAGGCTCTTGTTTCACAGGTCCATAGGTTCCTCCTTCTATCAACCTGCTTTAGTTTCTGTGCTGGCTGCTGCGTTTATAAGCAAATTGCTCCAAACCTTGTTGCTTTAGGGGGCAATCACGATGAGACTTTGACGAGAACTATGTCTCCACAATTTCAACAGCGAGGTTGCCGCCTTTCAACACTAGAGTTGCGTGCGTCTAGCAATCTCTCCATTATGGCCTTTAAATACTTTTCGTCGCACTACGTCGTGCTGCAATGCTCGCACTCGTCCGTTACCTTTCGATATTCTGTTTGCGGCCTCGAAGTCTAGCACGTGACTCAATGCGACAGCTAACGTTTTAGGTCTTGCCAGCCTTAATGCCTGTTGAGTTTCTGCGTCATGGAGCGCATCAATGAAGCTTCGGCCGGCTGCATTGTAGGGAATTTTCAGGATCAGTGTCAGAAAGGCGCATCAAACGGGCAATACCAGCTTCCATTTCTTGAAGACTGTTCAATATTCTTTAGTTGGGTAAAGAACACGTCTTCTAAGCGTGCTTGCCCGTAACGAGTTTTAAATCTCTTGCCAATTTGCTCGACGTTCGCCTGTTCTTTGGTCGGTATTGTTTTCACAATGTCGACGGCGCTGCCACGCAGACTCAATCAGGGCCATAGCACAATCTATCGTGGTCCAGCCATTTGCTGATGCAGCAGCCCCGAATTGTTTGAAATAATTTGGCCCCAAGGAATTGCCATCAAAGGTAGGTGGTTTCACTCGTGCCTTTCCCAGTGGTTCTTGTACGGTGTCTATTTCTGATTCTTCAGTTGATTTTAATTGATGCCTTATTTTACGTGCCGAGACTTAGGTCATGAGACCTGCTCTTCCGTCTTACCACGCAAATTTCTCTACGTCCCTTTCACCAACTAATGAAGAAAGGAGGTATTTCTTTGAGTGAAGAAAAATTATAACGAAACAGGAAACGACGAAAAAGAAAATGCTGTTGGTAAATTAAAATCCTTTAGGTTCTCTTCTAACATGTAATTTTTCTTCGTTCTTCAAAATTTTATCATCCATACTTTCTTCGTTCTTCAAAATTTTTGTCATCCATATTTTCTTCGTTCTTCAAAATTATCTCCTCAATTTCCTGTCGAACCATTTTATTACTCTGGATTATGTTTTGTTCTAGATTTTCTAATACCTTTTCTTCCACAATGCTGAGATTGTCAATTTTTCTTCTAAAATTCTGTAATTTTCGCACAACTCTTGTCCCACCGTTTCTGACAATTCTTCTTTTAATATTGCAGAGAAGTCCACAAAGTTTCCGGGTGTTTCGAAGAGAATATTCACTGAATTCTCTCTTCGATGCTGCTTTCATCGCATTAGTAAGACGTTCTTGTAATATTGCTTTCGTTCCACTGGTCTCTCTCCCTCTCCCCCTCCCCCTCTCTCTTCCTTCCTCCCTCCGTCCCTCTCTCTCTCTCTCTCTCTCTCTCTCTCTCTCACTCTCTCTCTTCAACTCGGTCATTTTCAGATCCATACTGATCTTAATAAGGTTGATCTTGATTTTTTCCCATGAAGACAAAGAGTCTACCCACGCCGCTGGCTTCTGAACTTATTAGACAACAGAAATTTTTTACGAAATTTAACACAGTAAAAAACAGTTTTCAGCAAAATGGCAAAGAAAACTTTGTTCATATCATTCATAAAAATATACTTTATTATAAGATAGAATATTTTTATTTCATAAACAATAATTCTATTTTGCAAGGTTTCGGGATCCCTAACACTGGAATTTTCCTTTGCCAGGCCAGATTCTTTCGAGTTTAGACCTGGCGTGTTTCTTACACCCGAAATAAGTCGTCTTGTATACAGAAACTGTCAGGCTTTCCACGGCTTCGCAGAAATAAAAGGGTCTTTTTGAAATTTTTATTAGGACTTGTACCCACAATATTTGTTTCTACATTATGAAACTTTTTTAAAATATCCAAGAAACATCACTGAATATTCCAATTAAGTTCAGAAAATCAATTTTATTCTTTCGAATATCTGCAGGAAGAAATTCAAGTGGGCCGTTGGTTTGGCACCGTTGTCTTGAATAGTAAAATATACTATAGCCGTAAAAATGTCTAGTCGGTTTTAAACTAACGATACGATCGATCTCGTTCGAAATCTGAATTGTGGGGCATTAAAGCCGACGGCCGGATATCCTGTGACAAAAATACGATATCTTTATCACGTAGATTTATGATTGTAAGAATTCTACGATGCCTACAGGCTTTGTCTACAAAAATTCCATAGGAATTTTCATAATACCTAACATGAGTACATGAAGAGAATATTGTACATTTCTAATATCAGGCTCATCTTAACAAGATAAGAAAAAAGAGAGACAGATGCTTTATCAAAGTCTTGAATAATTAATTAGTTTAAAGTTGTAGTTGATAATTATGTTTGTATGGCATTACGGCATTTAAAACCATACTTTATCTAGATAAACACTATATTTCGAATAGTCGTAATGATGAGTCTTAATAATAGCGCATTTAACATTACCTTTTACAGAGTAACGTATGTAATACTAAGATCTTTTCACGAATAACCTTGCGGTTAATTGTGTGGTACATATGTCTAACATCTGGTAACAAAGAGATTCCAGTACAGAGATATGAACGTATTTACCTTTGTCAAAAATAGTATGACCCTGAATGTAGCTTTTGACGGTGGTGAAACTACTTTTAATTATTCAAAAGCAAGGCAAATGAGCTATATTAGCGTTTGTTTAACGGATCAAAGGAAACTCGATGAGAATCACATCGAGATGACGTCATTGACCTAACAGTTGAAAAAATATTTTTTACAGATAGAAAAACTGTAAAAATGTATCATTTACGTGATATAGGGCTGTAGTGCATTATATTACAGCTTAGCACACTCAGCGTAGAAATATGTTAAATAATAACAATAAAATTAGAAGAATTAGAACAATTTTGCAGCATAAAATATGAAACTTTAATTTTTAGAATTATACCGAGCCTTCTTACAAAACTTCAACAGTTCCGCTTCGTTACCTAATTCTGACACGGAATATGTGGTCTAAACTAGATTGATAGATTAGATATTCCTGGCGCGTTAATTGCGTAGGTTATTAGTCCCGTAAGTTTAGTACACGTAATACAGGAGGTGGCGGTGAACTTCCTCTGCTAGTTGGCGAGATCCAGCGCCACCCTACGTCGGCTTGCAGGGTTTTTCCCGAACCAAGTATCTCACCATCGGGGCACCGCCCCAATCGGGACAAGCTCCAAGCTTTCAACTGGTCTTCCCACAAGTGTGCTAGAGTAGTGCCGAGACTCTTGCCGGTCTAAACTCGAAAGAATCTGGCCTGGCAAAGGAAAATTCCAGTGTTAGGGATCCCGAAACCTTGCAAAATAGAATTATTGTTTATGAAATAAAAATATTCTATCTTATAATAAAGTATATTTTTATGAATTATTAATGATGTATAAATTACAGTAGTGCATGTAAGAGTAGGTGCGGATGGAAGAGAGAGGAAAGATCGCGCGCGGTTCGTGGCCCATTTGTTAGGTTACTGCTCCGGCATTTGCCTAGTGTTGATCGGAGCAATCACAGAAAACTGCCGATCAGAGCAGCTAACTACGAGAAAGCTCCTCCACACAGCGGCTGAATTCGATCTGACTGTTAATGTCGAAAAACCTGCCACTGTCGGGACTCGAACCTGACAAACTCTCGGCCAGAGGCACTGCAGTACATCTTTTGAGGTCCTGAGGCACTCTTGCCGGCCTAAACTCGAAAGAATCTGGCCTGGCAAAGGAAAACTCCAGTGCTAGGGATCCCGAAACCTTGAAAAATAGAATTATTGTTTATGAAATAAAAATATTCTATCTTATAATAAAGTATATTTTTATGTTTTGAAAGTATTGGTTGAGGTGTTAGGAAGATAAAAGTTGCTGCATTATAATTTCATGACGATAATCATTATCAATAATACGATAAAGTATGTGCTGTTGTAGCATCACTAGATTATAATTTTGTCTTGAATTCTTTGTTACACATTAATTGTACGGTTTTATTTAATATTATAATTCTGTTAATACGTTTATTTCATTGTTTTATGTTAAATGAATAATCCTGTTTCACTGATGATCCCCGTATCCCTCTCCTGCATCAGAATGTGCATACTGGTATTTGTCTTTTATAATTTTGAGCTGCAATAATATTAAATCGTTTGTACATGTTCCTTTCCAATGTGAAACAGGAGGTAAGGGACATACCAATTATAATAATTTTCAGTCCAGAGACGCGAGTAAAAACAAGCAAGGATGATTTTGAATTTTACGCCTGCCGATACAACACCCTTCGCGCATGTGTTTGGCAAATTGCCTGCCGTTTAGGCGACCACCGTTCGGTGGTGAGGAATCAACTGTACTGGAAGCACCTCTAACATGGAGTTTTGATTTTAAATGAACTTGGGGAACTATGTAAGATTTCCCTGAGGGTTGCCCGGTCGCTCAGTTTCGCAGAGTGATAGGAAGATAATTCTAAAAATTTGCCTTACGTCCTCCCTCCATCCATATTCCCTCCGTATTCGAAACTTTCCATACGAATGAAAAACTATCGTAAGGGTTTATATTGATATCCTACATACTGGAGCGGCAATGGTAGCTCAGCATATCAACGGATGGCACTACAGAGCGTTTGACCTGGAAGTCCTAGGATTCGAGACCCGACGGTGTGGCAGGATTTTCGACATTAGTACAGGAAGCTAGGTCAAAATGAGCCGCTGTCAATCAGCACAGAGAATTCTAGCGGCCGGCCGCTCTGATCGGTAGTTTTCCGTGGTTTCTCTGATTAAACACCGAGCCAATGCCGGAGCGGTACCCTAAAAAACGGGTCACGGACTAAGGGTACTTTCATTCCTCTTCCTTGCCCTGTCCTCACTCCTTACTTACTCACACGTATACTCACGTGCACTACACCGTCACATTTATCGGGAGACCAATTGGGAGCTTCGAGCTTCTCCCGGCTAGGGGCGGTTGGTGTGAGATGCTTGGTTGGGGCAAATCCCGGCAAGCCGACGTAGGTCGGTGCCGAATGTCGTCAGTCAGCGGGGGAAGATCTCCATCATCTCCCGCGGTGAAAACATGAACTACACTTACGCCACTAATGACCTTACCCGTTGACGTATCCGGAATCACTAATTAATCAATTAAAATGTATAATATAGAATTGTAAACTCTAAACAAATAGCTTTTTTGATTTTATATTGTACAAAATGCTTGTTTAAGGAATAATTCTCCAAGAGTATGAATGAGATTTTTCTGGATTTTCGAATTGTGGATAAATGTCCAAAATTATTTTCAGGATATATCGTGATTCTTTTCATGTTTGACGAAATATAGTCCCGTACTAACCTTTAAGTAAAATTGTTGTAACGTTTGAATATTAGTTGAGTTTCATACATAAGAAAAAAAAATTAGTTTTGAGCACAAAGGTGCTAGCTTTTCCATATACATTGCTGAAAACGTCTTGGGGGTGTAGGGCATCAGAAACAATGTTTTTGGTGTCACTAAAGAGCCCAAAATTAGCGCTAGATATTTTTAGGTTTTCAGAAGTTGGGGTGTTATTCTTTTTTGTTCTCGTATTTAGCGTAGTTCGTGGTAGAGGTGAGTTCAAAAAAATTGAAAAATTGCCAAAGAGAGCTCAAAATTCGTGTTTTAATACTAAAAAAATTAAATGTAAGTAAAGGTTGCTAGCTATACAAACCCATTTTTGAAACTTTATTTTCTAGAGGTTGTGGGGTAACAAAAATATATTATGAAAGACATTAAAGGGCCCACAATTAGCCAAAACGTATGGTGCAAGACATTTTAAGTTTTCAGAAAATGGGGTAGTTTTCATTTTTTCTCGTAAGTAGGGGATGAGTTTCGAAGTTTTGAAAAGTGACTCAAAAGACCCGAAAGTTCTGTTTTGACCGTATTTTTTTTTAATTTGAAGAACGTGGGGATGCTTTACCAGTGCATTTTTGATATTCTAACTTGGGAGTGTTGGGAGGTACCCCATTTTTGGGGTCACTTGAAATTACCCCAAAATAATAGCAAACGATTTTTTTAAAAATTGTTTTGTGAACGAGGGGATGCTAGCTTTACCAGCATGAGCCCGAGCATTATTACCCAATATTTTAGTTGGTAGTTACATTATTATCTAATTGAATGATCGCGACCTCACCTGCTGGCTCGGGGGGCAGGCCGAGGCGCGCGCGCTGGCGGTTGCGCGCGGCGCGCACGCGGGCGCTGAGCGCGGCCTGGCGCCGGCGCCGCACCTCCTTGGCCGCGTCCTGCTGGCGGTGCGTGTCCTCGCGCAGCTTCGCCAGCGCCTCCTGCTGCCGCCGCCGCTCCTCCTCGTCCTGCGCGAACGCGAAGTAGCCCACGCCGTGCGACCGCGCCTCTGCAACCAAGCGAACGGGCGCTCAGGTCAACTGCTGTTACACGCCAAAAAAAGGCCACTCCGAAACCACATTTCTGTAGGAATTACGATAAGGACCTTAAGTTTTATCATCTCACCCGACAACTGCTTGAGAGTTATTGAAGACAAGAGTGGAAAAGGTTGTATTTTATTTTGTCAGTAGGTAAGGTAGCGACTCCAAGTCGATAAGTGAGTGGAGCAATCTTACGAGCAAAATAAAATCACTTTCACCACGTCTTCCGTGTGTCATAAACTATATTTTAGACAGCCTTATTCACTTTCATTTTATTTTATTTCCATTCGGGTATACAATTACTTAAGTGTACAATGTTACATTAAAGTCAGTAGTAGTTGGTGCAATCAGACAAAAGTTTTCTTTTTTTAAAATTAATTTATTTTCTTCTTAGTCACAGATTTCTCTGAACATTGTCTCCTTTTAGCACTAGTGCTAGAAATTGAATTTTCTTCAATTTCTACTGCTAGAAATTAAACACTCTCTTCAAAAGAACAGCTTTTACAAATGGTTATCTAAAATATTATATATTGACTATGTCGAGATTACAATACAAGATTGAAGAATTATCAAGCGAGATTATGCCAAATTTGATAAGAAATCAAATATTAAAGTAAGATGTTACTGTACTAATATCTCACAACGTTTTGTTAACTTTTTAAGCATTCCAATGAACTATACTTTTCGTTAAGCTTTGACTATTCGACCTGCGAAAGATGATATATTGATGTTGATAGTATTTAATAAGATATCATGGTTTGATTCTAGAATTACAAGTACTTGTACTTAAATTACGAAATTGATAATTTTTGTTAATAGTGGGCCTTGGATTATTACTCTCATATCATAACTATTTTATGAGACTAATCGCAGTTTTGATAAGTTTGAGTTTAGAGAATCAAAGGGGACAAATACATTTAACATTTTCACACAGACAACAAAAAAACAAGATTCTTCAGCAGCTGACTGTCGTTACCAAGTTGCGGATGTCCTGCATTCTCCTCATTGGTATAATAACAGCACTGGCGTATACTGTGGGCTACCGGCGGTAGCCAAGAAAATTACAAGAGTAAAAATCTTTCAGAACAAATTATATTAATAGTTATTTATGCTCCAAGGGCGTTATAGGCCCGAGGGAATTTTGTCGACTTGATCATTAGAACCAGTTTACGCCCGTGGTACATACATATTTTATGTTTTACCTAAGTTTATTGATTCAGATTCACTTATTTACTAATTAAAGAGATGTTAACTAACTCGGTTTGTCTTTTCATATTTTCCTCCCATAATTGCCTTTCATAATTCCCTCCATAAGAGAATATGTAGCATCATTCAACTGTCTTCGTATTTCCCTCGTAACCACGATCAGGTAAGTTATGTAGTATTTATGGAGATTCCGTATCGAAGGCAATAACAAGCTATACCGTAGCAGAAAAAAATAAAAATAATTGTGGACCACATTTTTTTCAATAGCATACATTTTTCAAAATTCTATAAAGATATGTTCCGTTGAGCTGTGTATTAAAGTCACTTGCTCCACGACGCATCAGCCCTCTACGACGCCACATCACCTAAGAAACCGCTGGAAGCCAGTGTCTACTCCTCCATCGATATAGCCTACGTCCATTGAATGACGATCTTCACCTCCTACAGGTAACATAGGGGACACCGACGAGCTCAGGTTGCCGACTGGTTCCTTGGCACGTTCGGAGGAAGTGGGCAGTATGTTATATGTGCGCTTCCGCGGAGACTGACACGTTTAGTGGCAGTGTAGAAATATTATAGATGAAATTAAATGTACTTTAACAGTTGAATTGGAACGAATTATGTTAGTATCAAAATATACCATTGTTAATTTGGTCATATATTATTTTGAAAAAATCTCACAACAAACTTCGGAAAATATATCTGTTGATAATGAGCGCATTATACAGTGCTTATTACAGATGTGTTTTATCCTTCGTTAGCATTCGCTGAAATAATTCCTTTTATTCAGTCTTACCCTATAACAATAAAATATAAAGAAATTAAATTGAAAAATATAAATAAATAAACAAATTATGATGCACACTTTGTTACAATAAATGGAAATATTTTTCGTCTGTGGTATGTTGATTGACACTGTTAGATTACGAAGAAAATATTCAAAACCTATCTATGAATATTCTAAAATCCAATTAAATTAGCGCAGTTGACTCGAAGTTCATGCGTCATCCACGACGGGGAGCACTTCTTGCCGGACAATTTCTCGCCTATGCGTCCTTCCTTCATTCACAAATTGCCCCAATCAATTGTTAGGTGCAGCCCGCATCGCACGCTTCTAATTATCATTAATTTTAATAAGTAAAACAAATAAAATTAATACGATTCGTGGTTATCGCTTTACAAGTTTATTTTATATCTTGTAAATGGGAGGGGGTCTTGTCGCCTGTTACGTAACTATACCGGGGGGTGCAAGCGCGCGTTACACGGAGAGAAGGGGAATTTAAAATACTCCAAATTTTCGTTACGTAATTTATGAACTGCCCATTATAAAACGAGTCTTCTGTCGGTCATACTGATTCGTGAGTACACTATAGTAAGGACAGTATTAATAATAATATTGATAAACTATTCAGTTAGCATTAACGTTTCAGCATCAACATTCGAGGTGAGATAAATAATACGATGAATGACTGTTTATAGCAACAACTGCTGACGCCATTTGATCTGATATGTCCGATGGCCTGGTCTGGCGGGATCTGTCGTGAATCATGGATTTCGAAAAACGCATTAAGTTTTGTTTCAATTGGTAAAAAAGTGGCAAAGAAGCTCATGAAATGTTAAAATCAGTGAATGGCGATAATGTAACTCTGAGGATTGTTTACGAGCGACTGAAAGGCGGAAAAGAGTCGGTTTGTGTCGAGCAACGGTTGAGACCGTCCTTCGACACCAAAAACCGCAAAACGTATTAAAAAATGGCAAAAAGTATTCGTTCAAACAAACGAATGATTTTATTCGAGAGCTTACCGAAGAATTAATGTCGTGCGGGTCCGTGCAAAGCGTTTTCAAATGCGTCGCCCAGAAAAATGAGCGAATGGCTTCCTTATTCACCACGACAGCGCGCCGCGTCACACGTCACTTTTGTTTCGCGAGCTTTTGGCCGGAAAAAGTGTTCCTGTCTGTCCACATCGACCTTACTCCCCAGATTTAGCACCATTCGACTTCTGCCTCTTCCACAATAAATAAAGTGTGCGAAAAGGAAAACGGTTTGGCACAATTTCCAACATCGCAGCAGCAGAAAGCCCTGTTGGTAGAGGAGAAAAAAATCGGGCACAGAGCATTCTCAGTTGTTTTCAGATTCCTTTTGCACCTTTAATAATATATCTAGAGATTTATTTGTTAATAAATATATTACTTATTGTTTGGTCTTCAAATCTTACAATGTGCACATTCTTGAAAACGTCAGTAGTTTTCGCGAACTTTCGTGTTGAAATGTGGGGTATCATAGTAACTAATATAATTAGTGCAGAAAACACTCGCTTATTATGTTTTCTCCAGTAAGATCAGAGCGTAAAAGCACGTGGGTTCCCAACCATAGAGCCTATTTTTTCCTATAAATTTTGTGGCAGGTACACAATATACTCATTTCAAGGGTAGAAATCTATTTTCATTTAAACATTTGAAATGTAAATAAAAAAAGTAGATAAATACAGCTAAATATTTTTTCTCCGTTAGGTGAGGAGTGTAATGGCTGACATGATAATGGGATAGAAGATACTATGTTATATTACGTAACTGTTACGAATAATATTAAGACGTTTATGGTCTTGTAGCATCACTAGTTTATATCTTTCTTTGAATGGGATTATCCAACATTATTACACTTTTCACGTGAAATATTTCACACCTTACGCTTATTAAGCAACGTTTAAGTGTGTCGTGTGTAATCTTGCGTCATTTCAAAGCGATTTATAGCAGTCAATTTTTTTCTGAAAACGCGGAAATGGTTTAGGAAACGATGCCAAATCTATAGATAGATGGAAAAAACGTGACCGACTCTACCAGCTCACCTCAGGAAGAACAGAAAACGTCATGTTTTCTATTCGGGTGTTCGAACTTAATTTTGGAAACGTAATTAAGCGCTCTCACAACGCCTATTTTAGTACGCACAAAATGCACTTATTTACGAGCGTAACATTAGCGTTAAAATGACCAATAGTTTTTGTCAATAAAACAACTGCAATACACTTTAATGAGGACAACACCTGCTTTCTTGTTTAAAAATCTGGCTGGTTAAAAGAATGGAATAAAAATATTTCATTTATTTTTTCCCACTGAATTTCGATACGTATTTAGCAATATGTTACAACACGCAGCATCAATACGCTTAATGAAAATTCATAATAATGAGTTTTATTTATTTGTGTCGCTTTGATATGGAAGATGCAGATACATTAAGTCGAGAAAAGAACTTTTGTTAATTCAAGAGTCTGATTTATTATTTAAGTAGAAAAACTGAATAAAATATTATCATGTACAAAATGTAAGATACTGAACGAATAAAGAATAAAATACTGTCTCGAATTGTTGTTACTTCTCATATTTCTCTTGACAGACATCCTGCGTACTAAAAAAAGAGTTTTGAATGAATTCTTGTCGAGTTTAGCCAATCCGTACCTACTATGTTAATATAAAGATACTTTATGTCTGACCTCAAAAACACATTCAACCAGTTCGTCGAGAATTTAATGACCCCTAAATTCAATACAATCTCCATGAAAACAGAAAGGTCGCCCCCTGTCTGTATCAAGGCTTGTTCTTAGTGGAATCAGTATTCTACGAGTTCCAGAAAGTTTGCAAGAACAAACCTTACTTGCGAGGTAATGCTCGGAAAATAAACTAAGAGTTAAGTTTAACTAAAACCACCTTGTTTGGGAGGAAAGCAGCACGTTTTAAGCCTTAACTTAATTTTAGGTATTTCCCAAAA